CCCCCCGCGGGTTCAGACGCACCCTGCGGCCACGGCCTCACCTCAAAGGAGAGCCCGGGCGCTGATGCACGGCGAGTTCCTCCCACCCCGCCGCCTCGGCCGCCCAGCTTCGCCTCCTCTGCCCAGGCTCCTGACCGCGCATCGCAGAGACCTGGAAGACACGCTGCGGGCGTCGGGAGGCAGCGGTCCTCGTCAGAGGGGCGGGCGTGAGGGAGAAGCCCCGGGACCTCGTACGCTAGGCAATCTCATCTTTGTGCCACTCGGAACTGGCCCCGTGACCTTGAGGCAAAGAGAGGGGACTAAACTGGGTGTCAGGAGGGTCCCGTGGAGCCCGGGCGTTCGGAAGCTTTTACTCACCTCTCTGCAGCTGGTGCCCAGGACCCGGAGAGGCAAATCGCTGCTTTCTGGGAGTCTCCATCCACAGCCAGAGACCATAGCCGGGCAGAGGTCTCGCCCCTGCCCCCTGGCGGGGCTACTGATGGGATCACGTGAGCCCGCGGCGGAAGGAGCAGCTCAGTTGGAAGGACAGTGGGACCTCCAGCACCGGATAGGAGGGACTCGTGTGTCACTGCGGAGGCAGGAAACAGCACTCCCTGCCCGTCCAGGGACGAGGGACAGGCCGCACTGGAGGAGGTCGGTGCATCTCTGTTCCTTAGGTTGACCTTCAACATGGCTCCTCCGAGCCTGGGCTCCCGGCAGGGCAAGGGCAAGACAGAGGCTCCTCCGCAGCCCCGGACTCTGCGGTGACTCGGACGCCTGGTGTCTGGCCTGCTGCTCCTCGCACTTCACAGGGCCAGTTACCTGCCTGGTGTCAACGGTCCCCTACCCTTCCTGTCTGCAATGCCTTCCACGCCCATCGTCTCTTGTGATGGACGGGACTGGTGTGACCTCAGTTTCCCAGACGAAGAAACTGAGGGTCCCAGAGGTTAAATCCTTCCTCGTCGAAGTGCAGTCCATGACCAGCGCCACCGGGAACTTGTTGAAAACGTCACTCTTACGCTGCACTCTGACCTCCTGAATCAGAATCTGCATTTTAACAAGATCCCCGGTGAGTTTGAGAAGCACTGGGCTGGTCGTCTACCCAGGGTCTGGAGTCAGCCCGATTCTCCCCTTAGCACCAGGAAGCCACACTTCGGGTGGTAAAGACCTCAGGGGTGAGTCGCAAGAGCCTACTTTCTAGCTTGAGGCTTCTGGTAAACCACATCTCTTTTGCTTTTAGCTGCCCCGAAGGAGGCGGCGGCCGTGTCCCCCAAACTTCTGGGACTCCTCGTGAACTAGGAGCCGCGTCCGACCCGCAGGCCGGACGAGGCAAAGGAAGAGCGGCGGCGCCCCCGCGTGGCAGCGTCGACGCCGCAGCTCACACCAGACCGAGTCAGAGCCAGCTGGAGGCTCAGCAGATTAAGGGAGTTACTCCAAACAATGCTACATCCGGGGCAAATTTCTTACGTGCAGAAAGCCCCGTGTTCTAGCCACACAACTATCCAGAAGATTAACACTCTCCGAAACAGCTGGCGTCAGAATTCCCGGCTCTGCCACCCCCCCGCTGTGAGATTTGCCTGCTTCGGCCTTGCTCACCCAGAAAATGGAGAGTTGGATGAGATGACTCCAAGAACAGTTCTACTCTTCTGTTTCTTCTTCATTGAAAACATTGCATCTCTGTGTTCACGTATTCGCCGAGCACCTCCTCCGTCCCCTGCTTCATGCCGGGCTGCAGGGAGGCAGATCCGTCCTTCGGCTGTGGGGTGTAGAAGAAGAACAGGCCCAGTCACCGAGGAAAGGCCCTTCCCCAGCCCCAGGCGGGGCCTCTCAATTCTCGTATCCCGTGCAGCTCACTGGCTCCCCGTGGCAACCTCACGTGGGTCCTAGAAATCTACCCACTGGCACCACCCAGACATACCCTATCATTGGGGCCTCCTTTTCTAGAACACCTGCTGACCTAGCTTGTCCTTGGAAATGCTTTGCTGGGATTTACATCCTAGAAACTGAGCCACTGAGACGGTCTTCCAGGTGTTTCCAGCTTTCTCTTTATCAAGCATTAGCCAAGTCTAATCTAACAGACCAGTACATTTTCATTAAGTTTTAAAGTGCACGTAGGAAAACGATGACGTGAGACCTCCAGCGCATGGTGGGCAAGGGGCTGCCAACGTGTGGTAAGAGCAGCCGTGAACGTGTTCTCTCCCTCCACTGATGCAGGACCCCAATGCCACGGCCCGCCTGGCCTCTGAAGGTTGTAAACCCAGACAAAAGTAGTAGAAAAGGCCCAAGACAGCTTTCTGTATTCCTATCCTCTGTGTGTTGTGCTTGAACCTGGCAAATCCCACCAGGAACTGGAAGTCCCCCCACTCTCCCTGTCCTGACACGTGCCAACTGGAGTAACAAAGTCAGGGTCGGCCTGTCACTTGCCCGTGGACATTGGCCAAATCTGGAAAGCATTCTGTATTTTTTCCCCACATCCTCTGAGGTCTTCCCTTCCCCGACCAGCCAGAAACTTACACCCTGTAGCTTCCCAGATGTTTCCCCCACCTCGGCGTGGCCATCCTGTCTCCTAGACTGACGCTCAACAGGTCACCTCCTTCCTTTCTCCACTTCTTACGGCATCTGCTCCGAAGAGCAGCATCCAGTTCACAAGGGCAGCGGCAGTCCAAGTTTGAGGGTCATGTCCCAGGGCTACCCCGGCCAGAGCAAGAAATGCGCCGACAACTCCAAGACTCCCGCAGCCTCCCCATTCACATACAGGACTGCGGGCGTGTGCAGTGCCCAGCCTCCTTCCTCCCAGACTGACGTCCCACTGCTTCTTGGCCAAACACTCAGCACCTGTGGCCACGCTGTTCTTCAGGAAGGCATCAGGCCCGGCACTTACCTTCATGCCGTAACCCTGCAATAACCCGCCCAGCTGCTACCCTCTGAAGCACACCCCGCAGCATCTAACTCTGCCGGCCGCTGCCACCTCTCCCATCTCAGACTCCCCTCCACCCACACCTCACGCATCCTCACTCCTCTCTGGCAGCTCCTTGTTTCTTTCAAAGCTTCCACTTCTCTTCCTGACACATCCAAACACAATCCTCCATTCCCCAAACCAGGAATGCCGCTCCGGCCCAGCCTCCTTCCACACCCGCCTGCGGCTTCAACCTCTTTCAGCTCCAACCGGTACCACTTCTCGATCTTATCCCAACTCCCTCCATCACCTGCAAAGACTCCGAAAGACCTGAAGCTCCCCGTGTCCAAACACACCTTTTATTCCAGGTTTGAAACTTTGAAGCCCGTCTTTTTAAAATATACTTCCAGTTTTTTAACATTGTAAAACCCCTAAATGCTTACTATAAAAATCTTTGAAAACACAAGCAATAATTTGCAAGTATCACCCACAATCCCACCCTGAAGAAGAAACGGCTTCATTTGAAAAAAATCTTCCTCAGTTTTTAATGCTAACACATTTCATGTTCTTTCCAATCATGGGAGGCTCCTGTGTGGTTTTATAACCTACATTCCTCATGTAAAAATTTAAATAAGACACCTTTCTGCTAAAGCCACTTAAAAATTACTGAAACAGATCGAGTGTACAGATGAGCACAGTACCCAAGGCCAGATCAAGAAACGGAAATCGTCAGGCCCCTGAAGACTGCCTCAGTTGCCTTGTCCCTACCCCACGAACAACCACCACTATCCCAGCTTCCAGCGGCATGGTTTTCAGGTGGAGCCATGCACAAATCTTCCCTCTTTCTCCAGGTGCCAACAACAGCCACTTCCTTCTTCATTTGCCGGTCCACACAGAAGTGGATTTTTTATTTTTGTAACAGAGACAGGGTCTTGCTGTCACCCAGGCTGGAACTCCCGGGTTCAAGCAGGAGCTGCCCAAGCTTCCCGAGTAACTAGGATTACTGGTGCGAGCCGCCCTGCCTGGCTGAAGTGGATTATTTTAAAAGTCCCACTGCCTCCGGTTTCCTCCAAGACCAACTCACCGTACACACATCATACGAGCATTCCTAAAATATCCCGTCCTTCTCCATGAAAAGACCTCCTGCAACAGAACCGCAATCTCCCGGCCGTCTCTCCCACCTCTAACACTTCCCCTACAAAACCCGCTTTCATGCTTGAGAAGCGTCCCAAACACCACCGGTCTAATGCTCTGCCTGCAGCCTCAGCCACCCGGTGGAAGTCCGGAAAGTTCACACACCGAACCGCGGCCGGCCCGCTATACAACCTTCACACCAACGCCTTGCTCCACGGTGACGCGCAGGGACTGGCTCACTTCCTGGATACACGCGGCTGTTACTCTCTCCAGGGGAGCCCAACACCGTGTGAGACATTAGCAGCTGTGGTCTGGCTGAGACCAGCGGGCTAGTCCCGGGCTTTCCGCCAATACTCACCTTACCGGGCCCACTCCTCTCTCAAGGACAGAACAGCTCAGGACGAAACCGACCTTCGCCCAGAGACCCGTGTCTCGGACACAGGTGAGCTGCTCCCGGCACAGCCAGACCAGGGCTGCGCTAAGTGGCGTGACCCCAGGGACAAGGCCCCTCCCCTCCTCGGCCCCATACCTTGTGCGGTTAAGGCCTACTTTTGCTGGCGTCATCCTTAGAACGCCCGTCACCACCCGACACACACAGCACACGCCCACACGGCCAGCGGCGGTCAGTTACAAGCCCGCCCCGGGCCACGCCTTTCTCTGGGAAGGTCATCAGGCCCCACACTTACCTTTATGCCGTAACCCCATTTTTCGCTATTGTCAGAATCCTCCGAATAAAGCCCAGTCACAGCAGCAAGGATAGGATTCCCGCATCAGAGGAACTGGGCGAAGACTCACAAGGAGAGATGAGTACAGAAAAGAGCAGCTCGTCGGCCAGCACGCAGCACCTTGTCCCCCAGGAAGCCACACTGAAATCAAGCTAAGAGGTTCCTTCTCCCAGAGGAAAGTTTTCATCCAAAACACACATGCGCGCGTGCACGCACACACACACACAATCCCAGCAGCCTTCATTACGAAATTAAAGAAACCATTGAGTGTAAGACAGGTTTTCTTTTATTAGTTTCTCCTAAACTTATCTCATGTTTACTGAATGATTTTCTTAGTGTAAGAACGTGACCTGGAGCTTTAACAAACCAATTTGGATAACGCAACCGGGATAAATGCTTGTCTACACACAAGCCATCAACTGTCACTCTGTGGCCTGGCCTCCATGTAGATCCAACTGGTCTTAAAGCCCGTCTGGACAGGGAGCAAGCAGACCACATCATCTTAGTTCTAGTTTTAACTCCAAGTTCCCCCCATCCCGACACCTATACCCTTCCCCACACACACACATGAAAAAATTTTTAGAAGAAATGGCCATTAAGGACTGAGTCAGTTGCATAAGGGTGGCTTAATCCTGCAGCCAGCACTTCACAGATTCTGGCCTCGCAGCAGGTCAGCTGGAACTCTCGAAGCGTGACAGGTAGAGAACGAACAGAGGATGCTCTAAGAACAGGGCCCAAGTCCTGGCGCCGTAAGGCCTCTGTCCATGCTCATACAGCACATAAACATACTTCCTCCTTCCTCCTCTGAGCAAGTGTTCTCTATAGCATTTTGGAGCTTGTGACACTCTAAAACTTTTCCATGTAGAGATAGACAGAAACTTACTCTAACTATGCAAGATACAATCCTATTTCTAACAACGTAGGCCAGTATTAACAGAGAGACACTCTGCTATACAGAATAGCAATTATTACAAAGATCCAAAATGTAACCAACAAAGCTCATAGCAGTTCCTAAGGCAGGTACCAGCTCTGGCCTCTTACACAGGCTTCCCTTGGAGTTTCCAAAATGCCTCCCTCCTATCGGCACCGCCCCGACAGCAGTCAGAGGAATGCTCGGCACACCCGGCATCGCCGCACGGTCGAGAACAGGTGTTGCGTAACGCTGGGCGCCACACCTCTTGAACACTAATTTCAGGCTCATCCAGTACAATCCAGTGTATCTTAATTTTCTGTATCATCTGTCAGCTGTTTAACATGTACAAATTGGCATATTCATGACAGACAGTAACACTTAACACACAAGTGATTCTGAATGAGCTAAAAAGAAATTTTAACACTTGTCCTAGGAGTTCAAGCTATACCTCGAATTTACACAGAACATCTCCCGCTCGAACAAACAGGCCAGGGTACAAATCTTTACACCATAGTTAGCAAGGATCGATTCCTCAGTTAAATTTACCATGCCTGTACCCGACAGTACATCTACCCAATCCTAACTTTCTGAAGAGAAAATTGCTTAGAGACTTTGATGCTTGGGGTATTAGTGAACATACTTCCAGGAAGAGCCTCGAGGTCTAAAACCCTCAGGTAACAACTCGCTCTAAGTCAGGGGGTCTATTTTCCCAAGAGCAGAACGTGGCATTTATACTGGAGCTCCTTTATTCGGAGAAGGGGGAGAGACTGGGGTGGAAGAGGGGGTGAAGTGTGAAGAGGCTCAAAGCATACTCTTGCTATGTCGCTCTGTGCCACGCTGTGCTCTGACCCTCAAACAGAGGGCGACCCCATCCCCACGCCAGGCAGGGAGCCGTGGTGGCAGTCTCCACAATAGATTTTTGAAGCATGATTAGAGCTCCTGCCATATAAGTCACAATGAAAAGTCTGCTTGATAGCTAGGTATAGCTTTTGCTATAGCTCAACTTTCCGATATAAACTTGTTCCTGTAGACGCATGATTAAACATAAAAGGAGTGAAGCGTAAGCTCAGTAAGACTAACTGGGCTTCTAAATAGTACCATTATGAAAAAGATACAATGCACTTAATTTCTGTATCTAACTATTTAGAAGTCAAAATGCTCCATACATATCCCCTCCCCCAAAATTCCCTAAAAACTAAGAAATCTTCAGTATTCGCTTGCTCTAGTTGATATTTAGAACAAAGTTGACAACTTAAAGCTTTATAACAGTCTGTTTTAATATAAACAGGTGTGGAATCAATCAATGTCCATGTCAGGAAGCTTCTTGTCCGAATCTGAAGGCACAGCCGTGTCTGTGCCCTGCTCAGCAGCCTGGGGGCCGGGGCTGTCTCCTTGTCCATCCACTGGTCCATTCTGCTCCGCATTTTTTTGCTCCTCTTTTGGAGGTTCCACTTTGGGTTTTGGCTTTGAAATTATAGGGCTGCAAATACTCATCAGCTCCTACAATGAGTAAGAGACAAAACTGTGGTTTCCTACAAATGAACAAATTTTACAGACATGCTAAACCCAAATCCACCCTCTCCCGCCAACCACCAACCCAGAAGCTAAAATGCAATGATGAAGTTCCCTCCCAAATGTCACCTGAGGACTATTAATAACACGAGTGACAAGAAAACGCTATTACATGAAAGCGTAAACTACCTTAATTTTAGCTTCGATCTCTTTTGACTTGACGACTGGGTCCGTGGTCGGACTCTGCTTGTTCTGCAGATTCAGCTTGTTGTTCATCCACTCCATGGCCTCGTTCGTGCTTTTCTCCACCTTCGCCACGTCCGCGGCGTCCAGGTGCTCGTACTGGTCCTCCTGCAACCGGCAGCAGCCAGACAAACAAGTATTAAAGGAGGATACTCTCCCGCCCCAAATGTTTGTCTAGTTTTCTGCCATCTTTCAAAAAGATGAAATCTTAAAAAAAAAATGAAGCACATTTCACCTCATGATCTAAACTGACAGTATTCAAGAAAAGAAACGTAATCACAATTTTTTAAACACTCACAAAATAGATTTAAAGGCCAAGAATATAAATCAGGTGGTAATTTAAAGGCTTCAACAGTATAAATAGCTGCACATGTTTTATACAAACTTTTACAAAAATAATTTCACGATGCGAAAAAATTTTATTAGATACAGAGTTGAGGTTTAGGCATGGTAGTTCAGAACCAAAATAATGAATACAATTTTTAAAAGAAGGCCTTTCAAAAGTAAAATTGGGGGGGGGGGGGAGATCAATTTATCATTCTTAATGTTTCTTACACTGACATTACATCAAGACCTAGAGTATAATGGAGTGGTTAGAACCCAAACTTTGCAGTCAGACTTCTGGCTAAACGCCAGCTCTCTCGACTTAGTAGCCTTGGGTGTTGCTTAAGGAAAGTGAGGCTTAAAGAAGTTAGAAGTTGGCCAGGCGCGGTGGTTCACGCCTGTAATCCTAGCACTCTGGGAGGCCGAGGTGGGTGGATCGCTCAAGGTCAGGAGTTCAAGACCAGCCTGAGCAAGAGCGAGACCCTGTCTCTACTAAAAAATAGAAAGAAATGATCTGGACAACTAAAAACATATATATAAAAAAAAAATTGGCCGGGCATGGTGGCGCATGCCTGTAGTCCCAGCTACCCGGGAGGCTGAGGCAGGAGGATCACTTGAGCCCAGGAGTTTGAGGTTGCTATGAGCTAGGCTGACGCCATGGCATTCTAGCCCGGGCAACAGAGTGAGACTCTGTCTCAAAAAAAAAAAAAAAAAGTTAGAAGTTATCTATGAAGGCTGATGCCACCACCTACTTCGTAAGGGTACTCACAAAGGTGTAGATTCAATGAGACAGTGTATTTATGGAGCGTACCATATAGTGCTCAAAACTATCAAACTGTCATAGTCTTACATCTGTGTAACAAACCAAATGACACACCTAACATATTCTCTGAAGGACCAGGACAGAGCATGTTACGTCCAACAAGGATAAAGCATTTCACAGCAGGAAAAGGAAACTAAACAATACTGCCCAATTTCAGATTCCACCTATGAAAAAGATGGAGCAAATCCCATGGTTCTTATCAAGAGTCTACAAACCATTACACATTGCTTAACATCCAAAATAAAACAAGTATTATTAAACAACAGCTTAAGAGAAAAAATACTGTATAAATGCCTCAAAACTTATCTTTACCAAAATAAGAGTACGGAAAAAAAAGAAAGAAGTTACCTTGTTTTTGAAAGAGCTGATTACTTTCATATACTGTTGGATCTGTTTGCCTAGTTCTTCAAATAATTTTGGTCTTTCTTCAGATTCTTGGAACCGTAACTTGATAGGCTGACCTAGATTCTTAAAAGAAAGAATATACAAATTCTTCATAGGGCAGCTTAAGATATAAGAGTTGTACTGTTTCTACTAAGATGGATTATGAAGTGCATTTACTCTCCATGTGCTACACAGGAGAAGTTATTCTTTCTCCGGCCCACTAGGAATGCAAGGCTGCCTCCGGATGGACACCAGAGTTTGCCTCAATGCTGTTCAGGGTGGAGCTGGTTCAATTTGCCACCTGAGCCCTTATTCGCAAAACACAGTGGGGAGGCAGCCAAAAATTAGGTGCCTCCTAACAGAGATACACAGCACTAAGTAGGAAATATACTTGCCAAAAGTAAAATTTTTTTTAAAGCCACCTGAATCTGATGAAGCCTCTAAACTCTAACCACCAATTTAACAACGTTAACCACCACAGCAATGAAAATCGGTGAAATCCAGACTGGGGGAAATCCTGCAGGACCAATGATCCAGTTTCCTCATCAAATAAATAAGGGGGAAAATGGTGAAATAACTACAGACACAGATCTGAGAGACATATAAATAAAATGCATGAACCTTATTTGGATACTAACTCCGACTGAAAAAAAAATTATGAAATAAATGGAACTTGAAAAGTGAATACCACAGTGTTATTAAGAAATTTTTTAGGTGTGATAATGGTACAGCATTAGGTTATACTTTCTTTCATTAAAATATTTTTGGATTAAATTTAACATGAGAGACTTGCTTCAAATGACAGAGTAGGAATAGAAATAAACAAATTGGCCATAAACTGAAAAGAGCTGAAGCTATAGTCCCTTTACTTTCATGTGTTTGACATCTCCCAGAATAAACGGTAACACACACACACACACACACACACACACACAACCTCAAGGAGATTCTTACTACTCTTGCCAAAATGACATATTCAACTACACGTACTCTCCTTGAGAAATTTCACTCAAGAGGTAGCCATAATGGCCCAGTTCCACAAAAATACAAGTAATCCAGAGCTAAAACTAAAGGGAAATGTGAAAAGTTCATTCTTGTGCATTTGCATCCTTTTCCAAACAGAACGCCTCAATCTAAAATTGAGGCGTTCTGTTTGGAAAAGGATGCAAATACTTTTAATACTTTGCTTTTTTAACCCTAAGGTTTAACGATCAGATTCTTTAAATACTAAACAAGATACTTTGCTTTTATCAAGAATCAAAACTACATAAACGTCCTATCCCACGTGCACTACAGGTCTCTTTAAGGAAGTGAATACATCTTGCTAGCTTTTCCATTTCTTGACAGCAAGAATGCACTAAATCTCCAATTCAATGAAGCACTATAAGTCTAAACTCAATTTTCAAAAAAATTCTTTTGTTATTATGAGGTTCTAGAAGTGAGAATGATAATCAGCATAAGTCATAAAGGGTACAGTTCATCAAACATCACGTCCAGCCTGTCTTCTTGGCTTGACACGAGAATTCTCCCAATTTTGAGCTCCTCTCTTTGGAAGCTTCAACAAGGGTTTGGGATACTTCTGCTCTCAAGAGTCACTTACTTTTAATTCGGCCAATTTATCAACATAAACTTGCTTTGGCTGGTCTTCTCCTTCCTCATACAACCAATTCTCAGTATCTTCTAGTTTCAAAGTAAAACTGTTACGATCCTAAAGAGAAAGAAAATATTGTAATTAGGTCAAAAACCAGCTGTGCCACCGGTGCAGTCACCAGCACAGAACGCAATGACAGATCTCGGATTTGCTCTAAAATGCAGGGTGGGAGGAGCTGGGGGACACAGGAAACAATGGTGGCAAATATTACACTGGACAGGTACAGGGGGCTTATTGTATCACTCTCTCTCCACTATGGGAGACTTGGGGTATGTTTGAAAATTTCAAAACCAGGCCGGGCGCGGTGGCTCACACCTATAATCCCAGCACTCTGGGAGGCCGAGGCGGGCGGATCATTTGAGCTCAGGAGTTCGAGACCAGCCTGAGCAAGAGCGAGACCCCGTCTCTACTAAAAAAAAAAAGAAAGAAATTAGCTGGATAACTAAAAATATATATATATAAAAAAATTAGCCGGGCATGGTGGCGCATGCCTGCAGTCCCAGCTACTCAGGAGGCTGAGGCAGGAGGATCGCTTGAGCCCAGGAGTTTGAGGTTGCTGTGAGCTAGGCTGACGCCACGGCACTCTAGCCCGGGCAACACAGTGAGACTCTGTCTCAAAAAAAAAAGAAAGAAAGAAAGAAAATTTCAAAACCAGAAACTGTATATTTAAAAGCAAGTTGAGTTAAAATAAGTAGGGAAAGTGAACTGACTTAAAGAAAAATACAAGGTAAATAACTGCACTCAATGCGCCAAAAACTGATTTGTAAAAGTGACACACATTAACTGGGCACAGTGGCTCCTGCCTGCAGTCCCAGTTTTCAGGAGGCTGAGGCAGGAGGATCGCTTGAGCACAGGAGTTTGAGGCTGCAGTGAGCTATGATCAAGCCACTGCACTCTAGCCTGGGCAACAGAACAAGATCCTCTCTTTTTTTAATTATTTTTAATTAAAATGTTGTGCAAAGACTATCTTTAGGGAAACACTGCACTAATAAATACCTAATTAACTATATAAAACGTCCCCCCCGAACAAAAAATACATTTTTAGTAATTTCACTATGCACACAGATGCAAGCTTCCCTTCTAAGCCACGTGAAGATGCCCCAGGAGACGCACAGAGCAGCCAGGCCCGCCGTGGGGCACACTTACGTCTTCACTCACGAACTTCTCGTATTCCCCACTAAGCTTGTCTCGCATCTCGTACACGTATTCTTCCACTGCATTCTTAGCATCGTTCCGTTCCTTCTCCAGTTTATCCTGCATGATCATCTTACCCTGAGAGCATGAAATTAACATCATGTATAAATTAGACATTAGGACAACTGAGAGAATTTCCACTTAAATACTAACAGAACTATAAAAACAGAATTCTTCACCAAATCCTTTTAGTTCTGTGAGCCACTCAACAAAGCAGAACTGGAAGACTAGTCCTCAACAAATTTTGAGACCAAGAAGTGAGATTTCTGTGGGTGGCATTACAGGAAAGCATTAAAAATATCAAGGCGTAGAAACTCAAAAGCAAAAATAAATGTAAAAGCCAGGTGCGGTGGCTCACACCTGTAATCCTAGCACTCTGGGAGGCCAAGGTGGGAGGACTGCTCAAGCTCAGGAGTTCGAGACCAGCCTGAGCAAGATCAAGACCCCATTTCTACAAAAATTAGAGAAATTAGCCAGACGGAACACGTGCCCATAGTCCCAGCTACTCGGGAGGCTGAGGCAGGAAAATCGTTTGAGCCCAGGAGTTTGAGGTTGCTGTGAGCTAGGATGACGCCACTGAATTCTAGCCTGGCAATAGACCAAGACTTTTGTCACCAAAAAAAAATTTAAGAGAACTTTAAGAAACTATTGGTTCAATTATCTTAAGTGAAATAAGCCAAGAAAGACAAATTTTGCATGTTCTCACTAGTATGCGGGAGCTAAATATTAAAAATAATTGATGTCATGGAGACAGAGGGTAGAATGACAGTCACGAGAGGCTGGGAAGGGTATCGGGGAGTGGGGGGTAAAGTGGGGATGATTAACGGTTACAAAAACATAGAGCCGGGCACAGTGGCTCACGCCTGTAATCCTAGCACTATGGGAGGCCAAGGCAGGAGGATTACTTGAGGTCAGCAGTTCGAGAACAGCCTGAGCAAAAGCGAAACCCCACCTCTACTAAAAATAGAAAAATTAGCCGGGCATGGTGGCATGTGCCTGTAGTCCCAGCTACTCTGGAGGCTGAGGCAGGAGGATCACTTGAGCCCAAGAGTTTGAGGTTGCAGTGAGCTATCGTGATGCCACTGCACTCTAGCCAGGGTGACAGAAGGGTGACAGAGCAAGACTCTGTCTCAAAAAAAAAAAAAATTATATATAAATATATATATAGAAGTTAGCATGAACAATACTAGCACAACAAAGCAAATATAATAAGTTAGGGAATACTTTTAAAGTAACTGTAATAAAAGAACAGAATTGGAATGTTCCTAAAACAAAGAAATGTTGAATGCCTGGGGTGATGGGTACCCCAATTACCCTGATTCAATTCATATTGTATGTCAGTATCAAAACATCACATGTACTCTACAAAGATACACAGCTATTTTGTACCCATAATAATTAAAAAATTTTTAAAAGAAATTACTGGTTCAATGTCACAAGGTAAAAATACTGTTATTGTTATGGAATATGAAGAAAAATCAAATTTATTCGTGCAGTATAAATGCCAAAGTTTCTATAAAACAAAATCATTCCAAGATCCACTGGATACCTAGTAAGAAACTTCACAGACAACAATTAGTACAACAAACGTGCTCCAGGACCCCAAACCTTGCATCACTCACCGTAACGAGAGTTAATGAATTTACACACTGACTGGCAATGGGAAGGAACAAGCAAAATAGTGCTGCCATTAACACTATGTGACTTCTACTCATCAACTCCCATGACCCACCACCTCAAATATCCCAATCTCTGGTGAATAAACATATATATACACCCAAAAATGAATGCTACTTCCTCTATAGGAAAGACATGTCAAAGATCTCCTAACAGAGCTTCTACCAATATAGACATTGTATTAGTATCACCATAAACAAATTCTGACATACCATGGGATCTATAATTTAAACTTGTCTTTTCAGTACCCAAAAGTCTAAATTATTTTTTCAAAGTCCAAACAACCGAAAGTGCATAACGATCACTAGAAACAGTCTGAATGCTTTGGTCACACTGATTTGTTAGCTCACTGTTCTAAGAAACTTTAAATAACCACCTCATTTTCAATGTACAAGTTGAGCATCTCTCTGTCTATCTGCCATAACAGCTGATTCTCAATTGGCAGGTCCACAGTACTGGTCTTCACTTTTGCCTTCTTGGCCTGGGGTGGTTGGTCCATCTTTTTGTCTTTTGATCCAGCTTGGGAGGTCTAAAATAATAGAAATCATTAAGAACAAACACATACACAGAGTACTTTAAACTTCAAAATGGGTCTTATTTCAAAAGCTAGTTTTGAGCCGGGCGCGGTGGCTCATGCCTGTAATCCTAGCTCTCTGGGAGGCCGAGGCGGGCGGATCATTTGAGCTCAGGAGTTCGAGACCAGCCTGAGCAAGAGCGAGACCCCATCTCTACTAAAAATAGAAAGAAATTAATCGGACAACTAAAAATATATACAAAAAATTAGCCGGGCATGGTGGCGCATGCCTGTAGTCCCAGCTACTCGGGAGGCTGAGGCAGGAGGATCACCTGAGCCCAGGAGTTTGAGGTTGCTGTGAGCTAGGCTGATGCTACGGCACTCACTCTAGCCCGGGCAAAAGAGTGAGACTCTGTCTCAAAAAAAAAAGAGCTATTTTTGCTTTTTTTTTTTTTTTAACTTTGCTCCCTGATGATCTAAATAACTTGGGACTATCATAACATCCAGAAAACAAGAAATAAATAAATATAATATGAGGTATCTGGAGTAGGCAAATTCACAGAGATTAAAGCAGAATGGCGGCTGACAGGGATGTGGGGAGGGGAGAATGGGGAGTTGTTTAACGGGTAAAGAGTTTCAGTTTTGCAAGATGAAAAAGTTCTGAAGATTGGCTGTACCACAATGTCTACATTTAATACTGTACGGAACTATACACTTAAAAAAGGTTAAGATGATAAATTTTATGTTTATCTTACAATTGACAATAAGTTTTAAAAAATACACAATACAACCTCCCACAATCAACATAGAATCACTATTAAACATTTTTCTTCTATTCTTAGCTAAACATAAAGAAATATATTATGAAGTTAGTGGAGAGAAAATATGAAATTTTTAAGGATCAGTAACATACGTGCAATGTGATTTTCGGAATGTTTGTAACCATTTACATTCTCACAGTAACTTAGGAAGACCCATCCCCCTGTACCTTACCCATAACTGGGAATTCGTTTAACTTTATCTCACTGTTATTTTAATGAGTTTCTTCGGGTCAATAACCTTTGCTCACACATCACTTCTTCGAATTGCCTCGTACCATTTAATACACCACTCTCTCAGGGTTTTGTGATATTTTCCACAAATGACTGACCCTTCTAGTTCTTCTCATTTCATATTATTTGTCAATAAAAATTTTTATTGTCAAATGTACCCTTTTTCCTTTGTGATTACTTTTGCTGCTTTTATCCTTTGAAAGCCCTTCTTCATCCACGCATTAGAAAAATACACACTTCAAGCTTTTGTTTCTCTGGGATTTTTTTGTTTTGTTTTTTTCTTTTTCCTCCTTGCCTTGCTAAGAGAATGTCTGGGTTCTTTAACTCTTAACTTTTGAATTCATTTGGAATTCGGTTTGTTCTGTTACGTGAGGGAAGACTTCATTGTCATTTCCCCACCTCATATCCACGTGAGCTAAGTGCTGAAATTAACGTCTCACTTGTACATCATTTCCCTCAGAAGCAATGGTACGGAAGACATTTCAGTTCCTGAGCACCCCCAGGAAGTCTACGTAACAACCGCCCTGAAACTTCCCACGGTTCCGAGGCACTGGGGTGGGAGGATCTGTCATTTCTCCCTTCTCCTCGCCTGCCTTCCACGAACAGAAGAACTTCTCTACCACTGCTGCCCCCAACCCACCCGACATGAAAGGTTTTCCATCTTGAATACGGCCTGACCCAGCTAAATCTGTGAACACAATTTCCTCTGCCCCTTTTTTCTTTTTTAATATTACTTGCACAGCTAAAAGAAAGCAATTAAAATTATTTAACTGACATCAAAATGGGTAGTAACAGACTTAAGCCATGTCAAGGCTCTGCCAAATGCCACCATCAGAAATTCCTAAAAAGGTGAGATTATACATTGTAATGTTATAAATAACTTGAAAGAAAAGGTGTTTTCAATGTTAAGAACAAATTTAAACATGAAAACTTGAAATTAAAGAACAGGTTGTAAAGGATTCAAAAATGTTACATATTCATTTTGGGATAAATTATTTACATTATTTACAAAATGATTTAAAACAGTAATTAAAATCTTTCAATAAAAAGACATGGATCAGGGAGTTAATAAAGGTGAAAAATTTTTAAGTCTCATTACTATTTATCAGTGATGAATGTATTATGGATAGAATGATTCAGTAAGAACAACTCAGAAACTAACATGAACCAATCACTAGGCTAGTAAATCTAGGGCTTCTGAGTGCTTTCTTCCCCTGTATCAACTAGAAGAGTTCAAAGGTCATCTTGCAAAAGGCACATTACAAAACACTATAAAATCCTGCTTAAAAATTGTTCACAGGCTGGGAGCGGTGGCTCACAACTATAACCTCACCACTTTGGGAGGCCAAGTCAAGAGGATTGTTTGAGGCCAGGAGTTTGAGACCAGCCTAGGCAACATATAGCAAGATCCCATCTCTACAAAAAATTTAAAAATCAGCCAGGGATGGTGGCACATGCCTATAGTCCTAGATACATGGGAGGCTGAGGTGGGAGGATAGCTTGAGCCCGGAAGTTCCAGCCGAGGCAACAAAGTGAGACCCTGTCTCTAATTTTAAAAATATAAATTGTTGGCCAGGCGCGGTGGCTCACGCCTGTAATCCTAGCACTCTGGGAGGCCGAGGCAGGCGGATTGTTTGAGCTCAGGAGTTCGAAACCAGCCTGAGCAAGAGCGAGACCCCGTCTCTACCAAAAATAGAAAGAAATTAATCTGACAACTAAAAAAAAATATATAGAAAAAACTAGCCGGGCATGGTGGCACATGCCTGTAGTCCCAGCTACTCGGGAGGCTGAGGCAGGAGGATCGCTTGAGCCCAGGAGTTTGAGGTTGCTGTGAGCTAGGCTGACGCCATGGCACTCTAGCCCGGGCAACAGAGCGAGACTCTGTCTCAAAAAAAAAAAAATATATATATATATATAGTTCAAATAAAAGAAGCAGCTCTACTATAACTACCCTCTAAGACATAGCGCCCCTCAGCCAAAACCATGTATGTTAGGAGACTGCGATTCATACTCTAAGACACAACTCATACCTCCATTTCTTCAGACTCCGCCTTATTTTCTGCTGGTGTTTGCTGCTGCTGCTCTTCAGTATGAGCTTCCTCCTGGTCCACTTGCATCTTCTGAAAAACAGGTCAAATTAAATCTTGGAACTAGGAAATATTAATACTAACAAAAGACTAAGCAACCTTCACGGCACACTGACAAAGTCACAAGATAGGAAATTCCTGCTGAATTACCAGCAATCAGAAGACCCAGACTCAAATTCCAGGTATGCTACGTATTACCTAGAGCACAGAAGTTTTCCTGTCGCATCTCAGTTAATATGTATGTGCTATGGGGAGAATACTGGCCCTGCCCTACCCTTATACAAACAAGAGTGACTGTGGTACGGGGAGAATACTGGCCCTGCCCTACCCTTATACAAACAGGAGTGATTGTGGAATTGCTTTGTACATCATAAAGTACTCGTACTTCAGTGTGGCATCATTTAACACAATCTCAAAACACAATCTGAAGAGAGCGTTAAGTTTCTCCAAGCTTCCGTATGAGCAGTTTCTCTCAAAAGTCTTAACTTTTTCAAATAGTTCCTAAATTAGTCTTTTCATCCTCAAAAGTACAATCACTGCATGTGTTAGGGAACTGAACACATTGAGAATTCTGTTAGAATTACAAAGCCCAACAACAAGGAAGGGCGAAGTTTGTGGAGAGCCTGAACAGGCAGTTCTCAAGGCCCGCAGCACACCAGAATGACCTTCGAGGCTTTTTCAACTACCGGTCCCCGGGCCCCAGGCCAAACCAAGTCCAGCAAAATCTCAGGACGAGACCCAGGCACTTGTCCTTTTATAAAGCTTTGATTCAGGTACCCAATGAGGACAAGACCTGGTGCGTGATTCCAACAAATGAGTGTACGATCTATTCCACTTGTGAACATAATCAGCTAAGACTCAGAGCATTCTTCGATAACCAGAAAGAATTAAAAGAATAACTCAGTTGAGAAGCGCACTATCTGAAGGGAGGAGCCAGCCGTGTGAAGACCTGCGGGTTTACCTAGGTTGGGGGAAGGGACGGACTCTCACTCAGCAGCTCCGTCACGATGTTCCTGCCTTGTCACCAAGCCGGCTTGCTGGAATCCTAGACAAGTCGCCACTGGGCCATCAAAAACGGTATAAAATGTCCAGATTACCTCTTCTTCCTTCGGATTCTGATCTGTTTCCATCGGCTCCTCGTTCTCCTCAGACTTGTGTACTTCCACCAGGGATGCGCTGGACACACTGAAAATGCCATGGACGTTCACGCGGACCTTGACTTTCACTTTCGAACTGGAGCCATCAGACTGAGGAGTGACTTTCTGAACTGAAAACTGAGCTAGGGACGTAGGAAAGACAACAGGGAACACGTAACCCAAGAGGATAAATCCAAACAGGAATCGTGCCCACACTGCCAGGTGATGTCCACCTCCCAGTGACAGGCCAGTAACTAACAGGATGCTTCAAAAATAAGCCAAGTGGATGCTTTTGGAATCTTACCCTCAGATCTCTCCTTCCTCTCTCTCATGGTCTTTTATTATCCTGTCCCAATTAAGGGCTCAAATACCTCCTAATTCTTTCCTTTCTTCCCGTCCCTTATTTCAACTTCATCTTTATATGCCACTGACAGATAAATTCCTAAAACAGGTTTGTCATATTCTCCTCTACTGAAAAGGAAAAACCCACTGATTCCACATGCTTCTGTCATTTACCAAGAAATTGTCATTTCTAGATTCAGTTACTATACAGGTGTTTTATTTATGTTTTCTTGATTCCAACAGCTCTGCAAAGTATGAATTATCGTCCTTATTCCTGGCTTTACAAGTGAGGGAAACAGAGTAAGTTAGCTTTCCACAGCTTCTAAGAGCCATTCAGGATGCTCCTAATACTTTCACCCATGTATTCTAGGTCTTTACAGTACAATTCCAGTTTCACTCTCTCTCCTCTCCAAGTATTATTTCCAGGTAAGAGTTTCCCAGAGTCTATAAAAACTCTAGCCAGCATGGTTCCAAAATCTAGGATGCATTGATACTGTGCCACAATTTCCTAATGATTTTCTGTGTACTTCTTAAAATTGTCGGAACAGAGTTTCTTTAACTCCTTACAGTATCTTACACAAAGCATAATCACAACATGTATTAACTGAGAAATACTGCCTACATAACAGGAGATCCAATTACACAGTAACTATCTGACCGGTTCTTAACCTGTTAACAAGACTGGAAGAGGTTTTCTTTTGTAATCTGAAGTACCTAAATTTCAGAATATTGCGCACTTGTTCTTTCTGCTATCCCAGTTCTCCAAGTAAATATAAGCTTTTTTTTTTTTTTTTTTTTTTTTTGGAGACAGAGTCTTGCTCTGTTGCCCAGGCTAGAGTGTCGTGGCATCAGCCTAGCTCACAGCAACATTTCCAACTCTTTACTTACCTATAGCAGGATCTGGATAGGGTAAATCCCGAGGAAAGCTGTAATAGGCCTCAAGAGTAAAAGGTTCCTTTCTATAAAACGTGAGGACTTTAGAGAAAGGAGCAGCATGGTTTTTTGGAAAGACTTCGCAGTCACTGGATGGAGGAAAAAGACAGAAATACACAAATTCAGGATATTCCTAACACTTTTACCCACGTATTTATTCTAGGTCTGTTTTTACCCGTGTATTCTAGTTTATAATTACTGCAGAGTCCTAGTTTCTCTCTCTTCTCAACTGACATTATTTCAGGTTTTAAGCGCTGGGCACAGTGGCCAAGGCGGGAGGATTGCTTGAGGCCAGGAGTGCAAGACCAGCCTGAGCAAGAGACCCCGTCTCTACAAGAAATAGAACAATTGGCCGGGCATAGCGGTACATGCCTGTAGTCCCAGCGACTCAGGGAGGCTGAGGCAGGAGGATCATTTGAGCCCAGGAGTTTGAGGTTGCAGTGAGCTAGTATCATACCACAGTACCTCTACCCTGGGTGATAGGGCAAGAATGTTTCATTTTAGGAAAAAAAAGAAGTTTCCAGAAATCTTTATAGATCAAGCATAAGAAACTAAGTAAGAACAAATGTATTTATTCTGAATAAAATCAGTGATTACTTTGCTTCATGCACTATGACAAAATGTTACAGATTTGCGTAAGTTGAAATTGAGTCAATATATTACTCAGGCTTAACACTGAATTAACTTTAAGTATAAAAACGATTAACAAACATTACCTTGACCCTTCTTCAGCTGGAGAATTCCATCTCAGAGAGATTGAATATGGTACTACATCAGTGATAGAAAATTCTCTGACTTTGAAAGCAGGCGATAAGATTGCACACTAGAATAGTAATTTTTAAAAATTCCATTTGACGAGTTAGACATAAACTGAAAGTATTACTAAACCCACAAATAATGACCTCAGAAAACCATCAATGGTTTTTTATAAATATTTACATTAATAATTTAATGGTGTATAAACAAGCAATTTTACAACCTTCTATCATCTGTAAAATTACCTATACAATCTAATTACTCATTATTATTTTTCCATTAACCTCCCTAACCCTTATTTAATTGATGTACACTACTTCACATTGACATGCCAAATTCTAATAGTATTTCAGGCTCAAAGTTATCTCTGTTTCTAGTCAACTAATTCATCTTACTATATGCTACAAAGTACAATCCCTTTTATGAACATCATCTCTGCTATCCATTTTAAAACAAAGATTCCAGAATCTTACACCTTGAGATCTCCCTGAGGTAACCTCAGGTTATTAGTTAGGTACATAAACCACTATCCCCTTTTTACAATGACTTATAAATGGCTACCTAGGAAAGAGGGAAAGTTCACCTGCAACGCACAGCCTCGAGTGACAGCTTCATCAGCATTTAATGTTGTGCTGAGTTCTTTGCCAAAAAAATTGCTGATCTTCTCTTTTACTGCAGGGATTCGTGTAGCACCACCAACTATCTCCACTGCATAAATATCTTCCTTCTTTAATTCTGTTTTTAAACAATTAGACATTTACATTAAAAGAATCTTTAAATTAGTATTTTACAAAATAAAACAATAACATCCTGAAATAATTCACAGATGTATAACAAAACTCCTTCACTCCCTCAGCCCCTCCACAACACACACAAACACACGCACTCACACAGATGTGTGGCATCTGGAAACTAGCAGGTGTTTTGATTGTCAAAATAATGCGGGAAAGGTGGCAAAACAATAATGGGATTTAGGAGGTGAGGGCCAGGAATATTCAATGTTCTACAATGTACAGGTCCTGCAATCTCTGACAGAGTCTCAAAGAACTGTTAAAACATCAGTAGATCAAATGTTCAAGTAAGCTAGCCGTAAGGAAAATAAGAGGGCCTCAAAATCATGGGTTACCCTGACCTGGCATGAACAAAAGAGGTATACAGAATCTAGCTACTGCGGTGCTCTCTTCAGAGCATAAACATAATTCAAATTAAATCACAGGTATAGTCTCCTCATATCAAAAGAATGTACCAAGGCTCTGCTGTTGCTAATAAAATACCTCTTAAAACCACCTGATTTCCTGGTCACATTTTATCTAACAACCACTGACAATTTCTTGAGAAGGGCAATTTAAAGAAATGGGCTGTCCCAGTGTGGAAAGAACATGCTCATCCACCATAATCACTCTGATTTAGTAACAAAGCCGGTGCCAAGCTGACAACATACCTCAACACTCTGACATAGCAACCAACACAATGCACTGTAAGTAAACACCTTGTCAAACGTTTTATGAAAATTAGTAATATATTCCTAAATCAAACAGCCACCTTTTAACCTGAGACAAAATTAATGCATCATGTTACATAAGTATGTAATCATCGTACCTTTCCTATGCTGTATCTCTCATTCAGCTAAGTAAGGATTTACTGGCAGAAAAGTTTACAAAACTATCACCTCGGCATTGCAAAATACAATTTTTACCACCATGAAATAACTGAGATGCTTATATCCATCTTTTACTCTGAATTAGGCTTCTTGGAGAAATTTTTATCAGATTTCCATGAACACTTATCACAAGATTACTGAAGAAGTGGGGGTATTCCAGGAGAAACATAAAAAGACACTTAATATAGCACTACAGTAGGTCCTACGATAAAAATTTATATAACTGCTTGGAAAAAAAAAATAAACAACATTTTCCAGAGAGTCTGAGATACATGAACAATTCAATCATGAAAATACTTACTGGCTTGTTCCAAAACACTACGAAGTGGTGGCTCTACTCTAGCTAAGAGATCATCACACATCTCCAGAAATTTGCCTCTATTTAAAAAAAAAAAAGAAAAAAAAAAGGTTAAATCGCATTCCCCTTTTATGTGCAATAGGTGGCTAAAATCAAAAACAAAGAACAAGTGTTGGCGAGATGTGGAGAAACTGGATCGCTCACACATTCCCAAGAGGTAAAATCAAATGGTGCAGCCACTTTGCAAGAGTGTTTGGTGATTCCTCAAAATGTTAAACAGAGAGTTAGCATATGAGTGAGCATTTCCACTCTAGGTACAGATCCAAAAGAACTGAGAACACATGTTCACGAAAAATATTGTACATGAACGTTCGCAAGCAGCAGCTTTGTTCACAAAAGCCAAAAAGTGGAAACAACCCAAATGGCTATCAACTATATTCAGCAATAAAATAGAACGAATACAATAAAAGGAACTGATACAGGTTACAACATGGATTAACTCAGAAAACATGCTAGGTGAAAGACGCCAGTCAAAAAAGAACATATTATTAGACTCCATTTGTATGAAATGTTCAAAATAGAGAGACAGAAAGGAGATTAGTGGCTGCCTGGACTAGAGGGAGGAAGAGGAGACCACCCATTAGCTGATGGGTACAGGGTTACATTTTTTTTCCTTTTTTAATACACTATTTTTTTTTTTGCATAAGTTTTAGGTTTACAGAGAATGCAATATAAAGAGAATTCCCATACACGCCCTCCTCACCCCAGCCCAGTTCCCCATTAACATCTTGCGTTAGTGTATCTGTTACAATCAATGAGCCAATGCTGATATACACGTGACAGTTTCCATTAGGGTTCTGAGTCTGGACAAATGTGTAAATACCCACTATTTCAGTATCAAACAGTGTAAGTTTCGCTGCCCTAAAACTCCCCCGTGCTCTATCTATTCGTCCCCCGCTTCATCTCTAAACCCTGGGCCACCACGGATCCTTTTCCTGTCTCCACAGTTCTGCCTTTTCCAGAATGCCGTACAGTTGGAATCGCACAGTATGTAGACTTTTCAGATTGGCTTCTTTCCCTTAGCAACAGGCACTTCGGTTTCCTCCGTGTCTTGTCGCAACCTGATGGCTCACTTAGGGTTTCATTACGAGGTAATGAAATTTTCTACTACTCAGGTGTGGTGACGGCTGCCCAGCTCTATGAATATACTAAAAACCACTGAATTATACACTTCAAACGGTTGACTTTTATAAATTACATCTCAATTAAAAAATACACACACACACACACACACACACACACATATATATACAGGAAAGGTGTAGAATACGCCCTCCAGAATGGCAAAAATTAAGAGACTGCTAATGCCAGTATTGGTGAGGACGTGTAGCAAGTAGAGCTCTTACACGTTATAGAAGTAATTCAAAATGACAGTCTTCTTTCCTTTTTGTTTTTGAGACAGAGTCTCGGGCTAGAGTACGGTGCCGTCGTCATAGTTCACTGCAACCTCAAACTCGTGGGCTCAAGCGATCCTCCTGCCTCAGTCTTCCGAATAGCTGGGACTACAGGCGTGCACCACCACACCTAAGGTTTTCTATTTTTAACAGAGACGGGGTCGGGGTCTTGCTCAGGCTGATCTGAACTCCTGACCTCAAGCGATCCTCTCACCTCGACCTTCCAGAGTGCTAGGATTACTAGCATGAGACCCTGTGCCCAGCCTGAGTCTTATTTCTAATAGCAAAAAAACTGGAAAAAGACAGTGCCCATTGATAGAAGAAAACAGTAAACATACAATGGCATACCAGTCAGCAAGACAGAAGGAGGAAGAAATGACATACCCAACAACTAAATGAATCTCAAAATTTTTATGCTGAGTAAAAGTGGCCTTACACAAAAGACTACATACTATATGATTCCATTTATAAGAAGTTCTAGAACAGACAAATTTCATCTATGGCTCAAAAGATACAAAAATCACAACAGTGATTACCTCTGGGGATGGAGGGCTGAGGACACTTTCTAACACAATGATCTATTTCACGACAAGGGTGCTGGTCACGAAGGTGTATGTGTTCACCCAAACTCAGCAATATGCACTCGAAACTCGCGTATGTCATTATATAAAAACACATCCCAAAAAACCACTGAATTATCGTTAATATACAAACTTTAGTATTTTGGGAGAAGCACACAGATGTCTGCAATTTACTTCAAACTACATCAAAAAATGAAATTGATGAGTACGCAGAAGTATGGATAAATGAACAAATGTCTGACAAAGCAAGTGCAGTAAGATGTCACCAGTGGAACCTAAGAGGTGGGATGAGGATCGTGCTCACCGTAAAATTCTTTCAACTCTGCTACATGTCTGAAAGTGTCCATAATTAAAAACATGAGAAAGCAAAGGAGTAGAGAAGATTCTAGGCAGATTGCAGCAGCAGTGGGAGGGGTTTTTGGTAGTTTCTAAAGTTTTGTTAAATATAATTCACATGGCATAGAATTCACCCATTAAAGTGTAAATTCAATGACAATATATTTAGAGTTATACATCATCACAACCAACCCCTACACACATCCCTCAGCCCTAGGCAACCACTAATCTACTTTCTGTCTCTATAGATTTGCCTACATCTGGACATTTCATGGAAACAGAAGTATCAGTTATGTGGTCCTCTGCAACTGACTTCTCTCATTAGCATGAAGTTTTCAAGGTTCATCCATGTTTTATTATGTACCTATACTACATTGTTCGAATTTCCAAATAATATCCCACGGTATGGACATACTACATTTGTTTATCCACCACATCAGATGAACATCTGGGCTGTTTCCACCTTTTGGCTACTATGACTAGCGGTGCTATGAATATTCGTGTATGAGTTTTTGTGTGGACATGCTTTCATTTCTCTTGGGTATGTATCTACAAGTCCAACTGCATGGTAATTCTATGTTTAACCTTTGGAGAAACTGCCAGACTGTTTTCTAAAATGGCTGCACCATTTTACATTCCCACCAGCAGCATATGAATATTTCTCCACATTCTCGCCAATGATTATTATCTTTTTTACAACATACAATAATCCTAGTGGGTGCAAAGTAGTATCTCGTGGTTTTGACTTGTGTTTCCTTGATGGCTAATGATGTTGAGCATCTTCTTGTGCTTATTGGTCATCTGTATAACCTATCCTGAAGAAATGTCTATTCAGATTATTTGCCTATTTTTATTTGGGTTATAGTTTTATTAAGTTGTAATAGTTCTTTATATATTCTAGATACAAGTTGGTATAGTTTTTTAATCTCTTCATATCGCATCAAATAAATACACAGAGCAACTAGGACAGCAAAACCAAAACCCATTAATAAAACCAACAACGAAGTATCCCCACAAATCTCAAAATACAAATGGGTAGAGACAAATCACCGACAGCTACAGGTCCTGCTTAGTGTCAGCTCTGCAAAAGAAAGGAGAATGAAACAACAGGGCACATAATGGATCTGAAAACTCCAGAATAACCAAAACTCAGCAGGCCAATTTGGAAATAGCAGCTGAAATCAGGAAGAGCTTGCACACTCCAAAACAAAAGAGGTCCTCGAAAAGGTATACAGGGACCATAACAAACTGGACCCAACCTAAAATTCCCTTCAAGGAAAAAAACACTACATTGAAGAAAAACTGCTGATTAAAAAATCCAAATTGGCCTGGTGCCGTGGCTCACGCCTGTAATCCCAACACTTTGGGAGGACAAGGAAGGAGGACCACTTGACACCAGGAGTTCAAGACCAGCCTGGGCAACATAGCAAGACCATGTCTCTACAAAAAAATAAAAATTAGCTAGGCATGATAGCACATACCTGTAGTCCCAGCCGCAGCCTGGATGACAGAGTGCGACCCTGTCTCAAATAACTACATAAATAAATGAAATGTGGTGTATCCGTGCAATGAAATATTATTTGCCAAAAAGAGCAACGAAGTACTAATACATGCTACAGTGTGGATGAACCTCAAAACCGTTATGCTAAATGAAAGAAGTGAGCCACAAAAGAAGCCAGGCACGTATTACGTGACTCCATTTATACCAAATATCCAGAATAGGTAAACCAACAGAGACAGAACACAGACTGGTGATTACCAAGGCCAGAGGCAAGGGGAAACGGGAAATACTGCTTAATGAGCATAGGGTTTTATTTTGGGATGAAAATGTTTTTTTCAAGAGACAGGCATGGCCACTGCACAACACTGAGGACGCACTAAATGCCACTGGATTGTTCACTTTAAAATGGTCAATGTAATAGTATGTAAATTTCACCTCAAGTTTTTTAAAAATGAAGAAAAGGTTAATTAGAAGAAAGACTGTAATACCATGTCAGAAATTAATGAAAGATTATTTCTGACATTACAGTGTTTCTTAAATTTAAAGAAAAAAGTGGTGAGCATCAAATGCTGACAATGCAGCTACAGTACACTACTGTCTAATAAAAACAGCAAACAGGCAAATTCAGTTTTTGAAAAATTTAAATGACTTTACAAGTATCTATTTAGCTCTTACAAATAAAGAACATTTCACCAACAATTTCTGAAACACATACTGGTCTACCCCCAGATTCCACAACATATACACACACAAAAAAAACTGCCACTTATTCATAAAAATGACAGCTATCACTTTCAAACAGGGGGAAAAAGCAAATACAAATTTGTATACTAGACAATAAACACCATCTCCATTTTTTAAGAATAGCTCAGGCACACTTCCCCAGAGAAGCCATCAGTCATGCCTGAATTCTACCAGCAGAGCTCAAAACCGAAAGAACATCTCGCTCCCATCATCCAAGCAACCGAACCAGGCAACAGTAACACTCTGGGTGTTTCTGAGCATAGCCCTGAAATGTCGATTACCCAGAATTCTTACAGCACCATCCCTTCGAGTGATCCCAAACCACTCAAAAAGAACAGTTTCTTAGTCATTGGGGAAATTAAATTCAACTTAATTCTGCAGTAAAGCACTTTGCTCTGATTTTGTGAAAACTGGTAACTCATCTTTAAGAAACACATATGTGAAGAACTACCAACTTCCTGCAACAATTAATGAGAACAAAACATCAGTCTGCATCAGAATAACCAAACTCAACCTTTACATAAAAAGCAGGGTACTGAATGGCCTCTTAATTTTTACCCATAGCACTGATCAGTTCTATCAACAACCATGATGATTTCAAAAATTAGCTAATTATGGCTAATATAAATGGAGAAAAATCACAGCGCACTTTAACATCAAAATATTAATATAGTTACCTATTCATAGTTCCAGATACATCAACATCATTCATAAAACATTCGATGCTCAAAGGGAGGTCTGAAGCATTTGCACTCATCAATTTCTTGAGTTTCTCACACTCCTGAGAGAGTCGTAATAATGCACGGATTTTGGACTTGATGTCTAGCTTGTATTTCTTCCCAAATTCTTCACAGAAGTGATTTACTAAAACTTCATCAAACTTTCTGCCTCCCAGTGTCGTGTCAAATGCAGTGGCCAGAACCTTAGAAAAAAAGATGATAATTAATCTAACAATTAACCAATAAACTTTAAAATCTATCATGATAAATACTTAACTTATAAGTTATTTATAAAAAAAAAAGGGGAGGGGGTTACATTACGGTTGAAACAAGGCAATGTGCATGTATCATTTACCAGCCTGGGAGGTATTTTCATAATGAATACTTTTATTATTAGATTTAAAAGAAATCAAAAGAATAAGAAAACTAACAAGTGACAGCTGACAGTTAAGGATAATTTAGAAAAACAAAAGCAGATGCTCACTAACACACATCATTCTGATCCAAAGCCAGGCTAAATTATGGCCAGAATCTTCTGTTTAAAAAGATGAAACAGGCTAGGCGCCGTGGCTCACACCTGTAATCCTAGCACTCTGGGAATCCAAGGTGCGAGGATCACTTGAGGTCAAGAGTTTGATCAAGACCAGCCTGAGCAAGAGCAAGACCCTGTCTCTACTAAAAATAGAAAAAATTAGCGGGCATGGTGGTGTGCACCTGTAGTCCCAGCTACTCAGAAGGCTGAGGCAGGAGGCTCGCTTGACAGTCTCACTCTGTCACACATATATAAAAAGATGAAACGGCTGGAGGTAGTGGCTCATGCCTATAATCCCAGAATATGGGAGGGTAAGGCAGGAGTATCATTTGAGGCCAGGAGTTCAAGACCAGCCTGGGCAACATAGCAAGACCTCATCTCTACCAGAAAAACAAGGATGAAAGTATAGAATGGATCTTAGAGATAACTCTATTAGTGATTAAAGTTTAAACATTAAGAATTACACTTGGTCCACCACTACAGCTATAAAAAAAAAATATCACAAACCTCTCATTTCTTAATTATCTGAAAGATTTGCTTTCTTTTTATTAAAAAAAAAACTAGAAACAATATAAACCAGAAAATAAAGCAGAACCAAATCTATTTTCAAAGAAACAGGACCACAACAAAGTCTCAAGATGCCCTCCAAAACCATGAAATTATTTATTTGGGGATGGTCCCTCCCCACCAATCCCCAAGGGGGTGATGGAGTATAGACTTTGGCACCAAGAACTTTGAGACACAACTCAAATAATTAAAAGCAAACACTCGAAAAATCCTTGGTTCTTAACCAAATTCTAAATGAAATCATCTAGCTAGACAGAGAACTGATTTTATACCCTACTGTGAAACTGGCACAAACCAGCACACTCAACTGTGACCGTGGTGACCTCTGGTCCCTCCTTGCCTTCTGAACTCCTGTGAGTATAAATCTGCTTACTCCAAGGCGTTAAGCTGTCCAGACATCTCAAATATCACTCCTGCTCTAGTTTCTTTCAGTATCCAAGTTCCAGTTCTTCCACCCCTTTCCCAGAACATTCAAAACCTCAAGGGCAAGAAAAGAAAGCACCTTTACCATCCCCTCAATCCCCAGTGTAAGAGACTACCTGTTCCGGTAAGCATTGTTTTTCCCATGTTATAGATAACAAAAATAAGACTCAGGGATCTCAAGAGCTTTTCCCCCAAGGTCTACATGGTTTGCTTCACACCACGCCAACTCTTGAAAATATTTTGGGCCTACAATCTATGGTCCACCCCAGAACACCTAGTTCCACTTCATATGGCTCACAGCAAGCTTCCGTTAGTGAAACAAAATTCTTTAACCAACTATTTAAGTTGCCTTTCAAAAATTCGTAACTATTATACTAGTAATACAGTCTTCCGGAAAAAATATACTTACTTTCAGTTTTCCTCTATTAAATGCGCATACAGAAACTTGATAAGCAGAATGACCCATGTCTACAAAAACTACATTTCTTGCTTTCTCTTCTAAGGCAGGAAGATCTTGCCTGTAGATTCCATATGCAAGAGCAACTACACAGGAAAAAACAAATTCAACATAATAGTATCATCTAAGTAATAAATAAAAAAGTAAATTCAACATAATAGTATTATCTAAGTAACAAAACTCATTTAAATAATAAAAAGCAGGTTTAATTTATAGTGAATGGGGCTACCTCATGCATTGTGTTTTCGATAGCATCAAATTCTTTGTAAGTGTTGCATAATTTATTCAAGAAGAACACATTAACTTCAAAGAGTTAAATGCTGACATTCACTTAAGACTTCCTTACAGTTTCCCATGGACTTTGGCAATTTTCCCCAAACCAATTCCATTCTCCAAACATATTTTCCCGGATTTCTTCTACCCTTGTTCCCACGTCTTGTCCCTGAGATGCTGGTTTATGCCCCAATTCCTCTGACGCCGCCAGTCCACAAGTCGAGAGCAGGCGCATCTTTGAACCGAAGCACTGCTCCACACACACATTGAGTGTGTTCCTTTCCAAACAAGCATGTGATTAAACGCCAAAGCACATGCTGGGAGGGTCCAGAGAAAGTACTGGTCAGATTAATTCTTCCATGTGCCACTGTATCCAAAACTACTATGACACGTAGGTCATAAGTAGGGATGGTAGCACGCCAAGCAAAATAAAGAGTAAGAAACCCTGGGGTTTTAAGATTTAAAATTTCAAAATAAAGTATGTCAAAAAAGTAATAAATAGGGGCCGGGCGCGGTGGCTCACACCTGTAATCCTAGCACTCTGGGAGGCCGAGGCGGGAGGATCGTTTGAGCTCAGGAGTTCGAGACCAGCCTGAGCAAGAGCGAGACCCCGTCTCTACCAAAAATAGAAAGAAATTAACAGGACAACTAAAAATACATAGAAAAAATTAGCCAGGCATGGTGGCACATGCCTGTAGTCCCAGCTACTCGGGAGGCTGAGGCAGGAGGATCGCTTGAGCCCAGGAGTCTGAGGTTGCTGTGAAGCTAGGCTGACGCCACGGCACTCACTCTAGCCAGGGCAACAAAGTGAGACTCTGTCTCAAAAAAACAAAAAGTAATAAATAGCCCTTCCCACCTGCAGTAGTTTCATTCATCAATCGCAGGCAATTGAGACCGGCGATCTGTGTTGCATCCATCACTGACCGTCTTTCTGCATCAGTATAGAAACAAGGAACCTACAAAGAAATTTGAACATTTACCGTATCAATAGAGATTTCTCATTTTAGTTAGTAAAACCCAGAAACACCCTCAAATACCTACAGCAATTTATTCTGTATACAATTAAGAGAGTATTTCAAACTAGTAGGGAAAAATGAGAGCATTCATTAAGTAGTAATGGGATCCATGGACAGCCACAAATCACATCACAATATACATTACACAGTGGACCACAACCCCAAGAGCTCAAGCAGTGACTATGCAGAGAAGAGTTAATATAAGAGGCCAGAAACTGCTATCCTTAGAAAAGGTCTGCTTGCATGTTGGCCCTTACCTGGCATCTAGGAACCTGATAAATAGTTCCCTAAATTGATAGAAAATTTTCCTTAAATGATTAAGAGTGGCTCGCTGTGCCCTAAACTGTTCACATAAACAATGCAGTTTGTGCTGACTACCTGCTTTCCTTCTGGAGGTCTGGAATTTTGGTACATGCTAGGTTTACTGGGGTACCCATGTGACTGACTCCCAGTAAAAAGTCTGGACTTCTAGGCTCAGGCAGAACTTCCCTGGTGGAGGACTCACTTCACTTGTGTTGTTATAACTTGTTGCTGAAGAATTAAGTACATCCTGTCTGACTCTTGGAGACTGTGCCTTGTTTCCTCCAGACGTTGACTCATGTACCTTTTCCCTTTGTTGACTATGCTTTGTACCCTTTCACTGTAATAAATCTTAGTATAAGTACAGCTATATACTAAGTCCTAGGAATCCTCCTAGCAAATCACCAAAACTCAGTGTGCTCTTAAGGACCCCTGAACATGACTTATCACCTTTTAACTGATCCCCAAAACCGGAAAAGCCACTCAGGCATTCCACTATTTTAATAAATTTTACTTCTACACTTAGTTCAGGATCAAAGTTAAGGCCACTAGATGCAGGAATGGGGACAAATCTGGGAGACCAATGGAGAGCTGAGAAAACGTAGGAAGCATCTCTGAAATAGTGCCTATGATATCAGCCAGTGGGGAGTCAAGGTCATCTGAATCTGAGCTTTTTAAAGGACATAAGCATTTTTATTCTTCCTTTAATCTCCAGAACGTGGCCACGCACGTGGTTTATGCCTGTAATCCCAGAACTTTGGAAGGCTAAAGTAGGACGATGGTCTGAGGCCAGGAGTTCAAAACCAGCCTGAGCAATATAGTGAGACCCCCCCATCTCTACAAAAAATGAAAAAAAAAAAAATTAGTCAGGCATGGTGGTGCATTTGTAGTCTTCGCTACTTAGGAGGCTGAGACAAGAGGACAGCTTAAGCCCAAGAGTTCGAAGCTGCAGTGCACTATGGTTGCACCACTGCACTCCAGCCTAGGGCAACAAAGCAGAGCCCTGTCTCAAAAAAATACGATAAAATAAAAATAAATCCCCGGAATGTGGTACACAGCTATAATCAAATTCTTCCTGACAATGTCACTTCTACTTTACTAGATAACCAAGAACCAAGGAATCTACTGGAAAACAGATTCTGCGGTGAAAAAGCCACCTAACAGTCCCTGCATGGCCAATCAATGCATCGACATTAAGACATAAGAGGCCACAGCAGTGAAGTATCAGACAGCAACTACAGAATGAAGAGATTCCGTGGCAAAGCCAACACAGCCACCCCCACTCCAACAGTCCGTAAGGACTCTACCACGCTGCAAGTGCAAAGCTACAAGTGGCCAGGCTTCCATCGAAACGAGGATATGGGAAAGACAAGATGCTGCCTTGTGTGTAAAGCTAGATACAGGCAGCAAATAGAAATGGAGGAAGAAAAAACAGCCATTTACAATCGGGAGTATTCAATTAATTCAATAAACAAGTCGCTACCCTATGCCAGGCACTATACTAGATGCTGAAAAAAATCCAAGAGAAGTGGGCTTTGAGATGAGCCTCAGATAAGATTTAAAACAGGCAAAATAATGGAGAGGTCCGAGCAAAAGCTAGGAGGCAGAAAAGAATATTTAAGAAAATGAAGATTAGCTTGATAGATTTTTAAAATAACCATTACAAGCTAAGACCAAAAAAAACATTTTACTTGCAGTTTTCTTCTCTCTGCTCCTTCACACAAATCCCCAACAATGTGCAGGGATCAAACTCACCGAAACAACACAGTCGACAACAGGCTTCTTAAGAACACTTTCTGCCGTCTCCTTCAGTTTGGACAAAAGCATGGCGGTGACTTGCTCAGTGGTAAAATTTCGCTCTTCCTCCATATACATCACCTGCAAGAAAACAAAAGGGTCTAGACTTATCATATTTCTTCATGTCTTAATCCTAAAAGCCTGAAGTGAACAAGGCCTCCTCATCAAAGATGGAACATTATTTTAAGAGGGAGCTGGGCCGGTCGAGGTGGCTCACACCTGTAATCCTAGCACTCTGGGAGGCCAAGGCAGGAGGATCACTTGGGGTCAGGAGTTCCAGACCAGCCTGAGCAAGAGCGAGACCCTCTCTATACCAAAAATAGAAAGAAATTAGCCGGGCAACTAAAAATAGAAACAAAAAATTAGCCAGGCATGGTGGCGCATGCCTGTAGTCCCAGCTACTTGGGAGACTGAAGCAGGAGGATCACTTGAGCCCAGAGTTTGAGGTTGCTGTGAGCTAGGCTCATGCCACGGCACTCTAGCCCAGGCAACACAGCAAGACTCTGTCTCAAAAAAAAAAAAAAAAGAGGGAGTTGGAAAAAAGCTCATTTTGGAAGCAAAAACTTTAAGGTCACTTTTAGCTTTTAACATGCTTTCCAAACATGAAACTTGGAGATCGAAGACCACGACATAAAACAACAAAACCTGAGACGGGTCCCTGTGCAGAAGCAAACTGATGTGGCTCACCATGACCCACGCTCTCCCCCCATAAAGGGGCGACTGGTACTAACTACTTGACTATATGACCTAGTATGTGTGTTTTACTTTGTTTACTTTATTTTCCATCTCCCCAGTTAGGATTCAGTCTAACCTGAGGACATGGCTATTGTCTGATTCTTCACTCCCCTAATCCCAGCCCCTAGGACAGGATCAGACACAACAAATATCAGTTGAATTAAAGAATAAATGATGAACACAGCTTCAATATAAAGTCCTACTGTAGATAAAAGTCTGTAACTTGGATAAGAGTTGCAAATCTTAAGTGTTGAAAGACTGCCTAGGACAACCCCATCCCACATGCCCGCACTCCCCAACAACAATCCAGACCAGACCGTGCTGCTCTCTCCTTTCAGCTGCTGCCCCAGCACAGCTGAGTGCTGCTGCTCCTCACTCCCCAGCCCAGTGACTTACTGTGGTCTAGAATCTAAGTCCTCACGTTACTGCGATAAAGATGGGGAAATACCCTCGTGTTGAACCTCGTTTCTAAATTATCCTCTTCGTCCCTGCTATTTGCGTAATTCTTGTCAATTCCACCCTTGGACTTGGATCTACTCGTTCTCCAGATCTTCTTCCCAGTCTTTTTCTACTTTTGCTCTTGCAATGCTTATGACTAAATCTGCCAATATCATCCTATTTCTTTCTTAACTAATGACTATCACTCACTTCCTCATCTCCTTTTTTCTCCCCTCTCCTGCACTCCAGCTTCATCCCTTACCGTATGCCATTCGGACTATTCTGAGATTATTACCACAGGCATCCTAAGTAAACCTAGTGATCATTCTCTAATTTTCAGAATTTTTCGCTTTTATATTTGACTGAATTCTTAGCTACACTGGCACAATGGACTACTTTTTTCTCACAGTTCTCACTACCTCTTGGCTTTGAAGGCTGTTCTCATGATTCTTATTTCTCCCACCTGAGTGTCTGCAACACCAAATCTCCTCTCCCTAAACTCACCTGCCTGGAAAGCTCATCTTCCCTTTGTGAACTTTTCTTGCTACCCGAGTACACGAGAGGCAGAGGTGTCCATCCTACCCATCTCCCAGCCTCTCACTTCTTTTGTGTGACCAGTTCACTGCACACTTCAAAAACAGACTCCTCTAGGTGTCCCCGAGATATCAAAGACCAAACTCACTTTCCCCAAAAGACTATCTTTCCAACCTGCCTTACAGCGAAAAGTATGACCATGTATCTGCTAGTGACTTCAGTGTTGATTCCTCTGCTCTTCCGGAAGTCACTCCCTAAAATCATACCAGAAAGTCCACTGCGTCAGTGAACAGAACAAGCAGCAATGGCAGTGTTAACTTCAAACCATCACTCTCCAAGCCTCCAACCCATATGAACAGTACCAATAGCTCCCAACCAAATTCCAGACCCTCCAAAAAATGTCAAATAGTCTTTACCAGCAAAAGCTTTTCCTAAGCATTTGTAAGCACCTTCATTACACCTTGACATCAGAAACGTATGGATATACATGGAACTGACAAAATACTGTATTGTAATCATAAGACATTAACTTGAGAATCTTACCTTTATACCCGTTAATCCGGTGGGCAACTGCACGATATCATATGCAAGGTTAGATTTTTCTGCCTCCACAAATGGATCAGAGAATGCTCGGCCATGGAATCTTTTAAATCCTTGGACTGTGTTCTTTGCATTGGAAATTACCTAAGAGAAAAATATCAAAGAGTCAAAACACTACTATTAAATTTTTTTTTGCATTTTCAACAGCCTTAGATTAAATTAGCATCGTTGTAACATCACAGTTTCCTTCCCGGTTTCAGTTGCTTCATACACTAAATCTTCCTACATGGTGCCCGCTAGCATGAAAAGGAGTGAGGAACTTGCACGGTCTCACCCTGGCAGGGCAAAGACCAAAGCCCAGCTCTTCCCACTTCTCCATGAAGTGAGGTCATTACACTTATGCAAGTATTTTCTGTTCTTAAACTTCTAATAAACATTTACGTAAAATGACTTCTAGCTTTTAAAAACTGCCTATAGTTATGGTTGAAACTTTCCATGAACCAATTTGGCAAAATGTGTCAATTTACAAATTCTAGTTAAAGAAACTTCCCATAAAGCACAAAGATCAAACTAAGTACAGAAAGATGAATGCCAAAGGATACTAAGAGTGTTATTTATAACAGCAGAAGCCTAGAAACGGCCTGGATGGTTTCTATCAGGGAAATGGTTAAATAAATTATGGCATATCCATACAGTGAAATTCCAGACAATAGATAAGAATTTATAGAAGGTGGGAAGAGAAGTCTCTACACAGTATGATCTCACTTTCTTAGGGGGAAAAAAACGTATACATGCTTAGAAATAGTACAAAGGGTTATACATTAAGACATGTGGCCGGGTGCAGTGGCTCACACCTGTAATCCCAGCACTTTGGGAAGCCAAGGCAGGAAGATCACTTAGGGCCTGGGGTTCAAGACCAGCCTGGACAACAAATGAGATCCCCACCTCTACAAAAAATTTAAAAACTAGCCAGGCAAGGTGGCACATGCCTACAGTCCTAGCTACTTGGGAGGCTGAGGTGGGAAAGATCACTTGAGCCCAGAGTTCAAGGTTATAGAGTGCTATGAGCGTACCACTGCACACAGCCTGGTGACAGAGCAAGACCCGTCTCTAAAAAAGAATTATAATAAAAATAAAAATAAAAAGATAGTAACAGTGATTTTCAGATAATGGCTGAACGGGTGACTTCCAAATTCCTTATGCTTTTATATCTACATTTTCTTATTCCTCTAGAATAAACTATTATAACTTATGTGGGGGAAATGCTGACAAATATTTTCAACAAGTTTCAGGATAGACTTGTACTTAAGATTTACAGAGGCCCCTCTTCCCAACGCAAGAGATACAACAAGCCCGCAAGGAAGACATCACAGAGCTCTCCTGCATCGGCTGGGTCAAAAGGCAAGCACAGAAGTCCCTTTGTAAAACAGATGAGGCCTCCAAAATCGGGCCTTGCTTGAGTAAGCTGCCAAATGGAAACTCTGTAACATAATAACTATGTCAACCTAGAACTGGGCAGCCAGTTCAGAACAATAACTGTTCTCAATAATGAAAGCAGGTTTAAAAACAAGAATTCGCTGGAATTTTAGAAGGAAGGACATTTCAAAATAGCCCTGCATTTGCTATCTACTGCCTTCTAAAATATCTTGAACATTTAAAAAATAAGACTATAAAACAACCAATTTAATTAAAAACCAATTGGCCAAGCACTATTTTCTTAGGTTCATAAATCTTAGGCCCTGCCCAGCCCAGAAAAAGAGACAGTTATTCACTCTGTATGTTGCTCCAGACTGAACCATAAAAAGGTCAAAAAGGCAACTCCCTAATTTTACAAAGATCTCAGATACTCAGAATAACAGAACTCTTAGGGTTCTTTGCTCTGGTTACTCAGAAACCAGAAAATATGTCAGGTTCCTGGTTCAGAGTTAAGTCCTCCAATGTGCTTCTAGAAGTATGCTTTCTTTCCTTCAGAAACTTGATTAACAAGATCAACACTGGCCTTAAATATGAATAAGATGAAAGGCCCAACAAGACAGACCTTGAGGAGCATTTAAAATATCAAGGAACAAGCAACCCCTGCTTAAACAAGATGGGGCAAAATACATCCTAGCAGTTTGCATTAAACAGATTATACTGCTAATGCTATTTTAAAGCTATCTGCTTCTCACCCAAGCAGTCATCCCTCAGTATCCACAGGGGCTTTGGTTCCAGGACACCCCTCATCCCACGATTATACCAAAATCCACAAATGCTCAAGTCCCTCATGCAAAATGGCATAATATTTGCATACAACTTACGCACATCCACTTGTACACTTTAAATCTCTAGATTACTTATAATACTTAATACAATATAAATACTACATATTAATAGTTGTTATACTGTATTGTTTTTATTTGTATTTTTTTTTATTGTTGCATTATTTTTTATTGTTTTTCCCCCCAAATATTTTCAATCCTCAGTTGGCTGAATCCAAGATGCAGAACCCACAGGACGTGAAGGGCCAACTATACGTGAAAACAGGGATCACGTCTTGTCTGTCAGTTGTATACCTAAAGCCCACCAGTGCTGGGCACATAATGGGCACTAAACTAGATGCCGAACCAATGGATGAACAAACCGGAGAAATAAGTCATTTTAAAAAAAAACAAAACCCTACCTGGCTTTTAGCCGCTGCTCCAATTGAACGATTCTTAGGACCAAAAGAAATGCAAGCCCTAGAAGATAAAACAAACATTAAAGAATCAAATCTTACTGCAGTATTACACCCAAAACCACAGCAGGCAAGATTTCTGGGCCTCAGTCACGTATTTTAACAGTATACAAGCCTACAATTTTGATCTTTCTACTGAGTTAATGTGTCCATGGAACAGGCTGCCTCTTCAGATTCTGTCGCTTAGTTGTTGGAGCACAAATCTGATGTGATAACTATCTGTCCAGTCTCCACCATCCTCTAATTATCTTTCAAGTCTTGTGTTCAAAATCCCAATATAAGATAACATACCCTCACATCGATGTATCAATTAAATTTTCTTCCCATTTTTAAGACAACTCATAACTTCACCAAGAATATAGTCTATGAACCCTGAAAACAACTCCTGCCCTACCGCAATAAGTAAAAAGTAATTTCTCTAGAACTAGCTTCCAAGGACTCAGAATTTCTGACAAGGAGCTTCATTCTCACTTCTGAACATTCTTCCAAATCAACAATTCATACACTGCCTTGCTGAGACCTGCTGAACACTGAAACCTGCTTGCAAGTAAAAAAACAACGCATTTAAGCTTAAAAAGTCAGTTATCTTGGAGTGGATGCTTTTGTTATCTTGGCCCCTGTTCATTCTAACCCCTCTGGAATCCTGCCCTGTCATATCCACTACCAAAAAAACCCTAAAAGACAAAACTCTTCCCAGAGTCCACTTCCCCCTCAAGCTATTAAGCCCCCTCTTCCTTCTACTACTTTAATAATAAGGACTGCAACAATTGCTTATCGCATTTAATCCTCAGAAGCACCTTACCCTATCTTATCCCCATTTTACAGGACAGGAAACTGAGTCCAAAAAGGTATTAATAAGTAAATTTATCCAGGGTCAAGTAATCTGAAAGCAACAGAATTCCAGATCATGTCTCCCTACTTTATACTCCAGCTTTGAACCTCTCTATCCTCCCTTGAACTTCCAATTCAGCAGAGTGATTAAGAATAAGGACTCTCAGGCCAGGTGCAGTGGCTCATGCCTGTAATCCCAGCACTTCGGGACGCCAAGGTGGGAGGATCACTGGAGGCCAGGAATTTGAGACCAACCTGGGAAACATAGTGAGACCCCATCTCCACAAAGGTTTGTAAAAAATTAGCCGGGTGTGGCGGTGCATGTCTGTAGTCCTAGCTAGCCGGCAGGCTGAGACAGGAGGATGGCTTGATGCCAGGAGTTCAAGGTTACAGTGAGCTGTGGTAGCCACTCCGCTTGAGCCTGAGTGACAGAGCGAAACCCCATCCCATTCATTCATACGTAAATAAGGGCTCTGGAGCCACACAGCCTCAGTACGAATGTGACTACACTAGATGACCTATTAATTCAATAGAACTGTTTCATTTACATAAACTTACCGGCCCTGTGAAAACTGGCAGAATGCTGGGCCTCTCTGGGCTTCAGGGGCCCTTTCCGACCAATGGGCTAAGGATCTCTGTGAGTCATCTCCCGGGACAGCTGTAGGCAGCTGTGCCCTGTATTAATTTGTGAACATGGCACAGCCTGGGATCTCATCAGCATTTCTCCAAATCTTGACACAGGGGTTAAGCTTAGCCTTTCCACAAATATGCCACCCATCACTTTAGCACTTATTTTAGATTACAAAAAAAAAATCTCAGTACCACTTAAATGTCTCTCCTCTCAAAGCCCACGATGCTCTTCAGGAAACTGCCCAAAGCAATCTTACCCACTATGTTCACTCCCTCCACCCCAAAAATGCTGCCTAGCCTAAGCCTAATAATTGGCAAACCTACATCTTTCTAAAAACTACCAGATCTGAAGTTCTAAGGCACATCCTACCAAGACCTCAATCCCAACGTAACTAAAAGGCAATGTTATTTATCTTGTTTCCTGCAGCCCTTTTTTGCAAACCTCATCTCCTCAAAACAATTATTAGCTCGAAGAAAAGACATTAATGTTCCCAAGTGTCCTGTAAGTCCTGCTGAAGCGTTAATTCCCTATTCCACCTCAGTAACGCTAAAGCTGTCTGGCTTCTAATTACCTTCCAAACAGAACCAACGACCAACAAATAAAGCCCAAATTTGTTAATATGGAGCCTAAGGCCTCTCTCAACCCAACCCAACCCGACCCCACCCTATTTTCCAGCCGCATCTCACCCACACCCTGAGCCAACAGAAGTTAGATAAAGTCTCAATCTTCCTTCTTTGTTCACGCCACTTTTCTTATCTGAAATGCCCTGGTCCTTCACTTGTTCTCGAGGAATATCACCTACTTTGTCTGCAATGCCTTTCCAATCCAACCTTCCCAAGTACAAATTAATCATTTCTATTTCGTATCTCTTAAAACTTACTGGACTTGGCTTAATGTCTACTTAGCACTGACCACAAACTGAACTGCATTATGAATGCTAACATATTTGCTTTCCCTTCTAAAACAGTGTGTTTTATAAACCCCAGATCACAACCTATGCATGAGTCTAAAATTAACTGGGGGGTTGGAGAAGTCATGAACAACTTAAATAGAAAACAGCAGCATGCACCGTATATAAAAGTATGCGATGTTTGAATGAAGCTTTTTTTTCAGTCATGCATGTACATACCAGGTCTCAGTGTAAAATATATAATCTAATAAAATTTAGGGTCTTCGGTTACAGACATACATTGTCCAATAAAGTAGCCACTAACCACATGTGGCTATTTAAATTTAAATTATTTAAAATCAAATAAAATTTAAAAGTCAGTTCTTCGGTCCACTGACCACATCTCAAGTGCTCAATACCCAAGTGTGGCTTGTGGCTACTGTTTTGGACAATACAGAGAACACTTCCGTCATCCTAGACAGTTCTATTGGACAGAACGTTATTTCCTCAAATAATGTTCCCTAGACGATACTGCTCTAGACAATATTCTCCATGAAGTCAGTATTTTTACATACTTTAAAAATCTACATCTGCATTCGTAACAGTAACAGAAGTGTTTCATACATCTCAAAGAGCCAAATAAATGTCTCAGTTCAAATTATTCATTCTCCTTTTTCTTGGTCTACTCATGCACACACAGCAAATAGTTCCCAACTTCTTACAAAGCAATTAAATGTCACTAATGAAACTTCAATCTTTACCACATAATATAGCAACTAAACCTCAAAAAAGGCATAATTCTTCAAGTATAGAAAAATTTTACACTTTTCTTACCACATCATGCAAAAATCACCAATATCACTACATAATTCTTACATCTAAAGTTCTGTAACAACAAGCCAACTACTGCATGAGAGAAATCTTTAGCATTTCCACTCCGTCATCAACTTGGTTGATCTGAACTCTTTCCAGTTAAAAGCGCTCAGGCTCTAGAATCTGACAGTCTGGGTCTGCCCAAATCCTTCTGCCTTTTTAGCTGTGTCACCTCTGATGTTCGATCTCTGCGATGTGATTTGCTCATCTCTAAAATTACAGCACCTGTATCTCATAGGGCGGCTACAGGTTGAATTTGATGATCCACTTTTAAAGGGCCTACGTCAGAGACTGGCACATCACAAATAATAAAATAGTAGCTATTATTACAGCTCCAATGAAGCCATAGTCTAGGTTTCATGCAAAAATATACCGACTAATTTGCCTTTTTTTTTTTTTTTTTTTTTTTTAAAGACACAAGATCTCAAGTCTGTCACTCAGGCTGGAGTGCAGTGGTGTAATCACAGCTCATTGCAGCCTCCAACTCCTGGACTCAAGGGATCCTCCCACCTTGGCCTCCCAAAGTACTGGGATTATAGGCTTGAGCCACTTTAATATTAAAGTCCTGTTTCACCTTCTCAGTCAACTTAAATCCTATCAGCCATCTTTAAAAGTACCTATTGATGTGGGATTAAAAAAAAAAAAAGTCCTACTACTTCCATTAAGAAAGAACAACTGAAAAACAAAATATGATCAATTTGCTGAATTGGGTCAGTATGTAAAACAGCACAAACTGAAGGATTTTGAAAACTAAAAGCTTACGCAAAGAATATTTCCAGGAGGTGAAGGCATAAATAGATTAAGCTGAATACTAGGGCCAGCAATGTAACCTCGTTCAATGTTTTCTGGTACAAGTTCATCAAAGAAAATTAGAAAACGGACAAGTATGGAGAAAAAAAGATTATGTGCAATTCCACAACCCTCCCCACCACAGGTGGCCACTATGAGCATTTAGGTAAATACTTCTACGCAATTCTAATGAATCTAGTAAGTTCTAAAAATGCAATATTAAAATAATCCTTTCAGTTTGCTTCTCCTCAATAAATGCTCTTCGGTGGCTCAATTATTCCTTCAGGACATTAACATGTTAACATTAACATTATTACAAGAACATTTAAAGGAAATTTCTCTCTCCTTCCCGTTCACCATGAACTTCCAAAATTCCCGCACAGCCTGCAGCCAATCGCTATCTGAGGCATGAAGCCTGTTCAACCAAGCAGGTCAAGCTCCCTTGTTTCATGGCTTTCGTTACAGAGCCTTCATGTGCCAGGCAGTGTGCTGAGCATCCTACACTCGATACTCCAAGATATTCTGAGAAAAGAACTATTATTAGCCCTATTTCATGGGCGAAGAGCTGATTCAAGTCAAGTTAATGTGCCCAGAAACATAACTAAAGTAGTAAATATTAGAGTCAGGATTCAAAACTCAGGACTACCAGACTCCAAATCCCATACATACATACTCTTATACTCCCAAACTGTTAGATTAATTCCTACTTCTACACCTTACTGTCTCAATCCGTTCCTCCGTGTATTCCGATCCCATTTGCTCACGTCCCACTCAAGCCTTTCCTCATCCAGCCCCCCGCCATGTACCTCTCCTTTGAACATGGTATTTTAGGTCCGTACTATGTAACCTTGTCCATAACTGGACTCTTATTCTATTTACTCTTGCTTTATGTCATTCATATTTTCACGTAGGGTGGTTACATCTCTAGACACCAGGAATCTTTATTTCACACGTCCTCTGTACTACACACAATGCCAAGTCAATGCTGCTA